ACTAATTTAAAAGGAAATGTGTGGCAGCTACAAAGGAGAATTGACAATCAGATCTTGGGAGTTAAAGGGTTAGTATAAATGAAATAAAAGTGTAATTTTATAAGTACTTTTACGTACCTTTCCACCGATACTGGAGGAAAAAAAAAAAGGCTAGACAAATAATTAATAAAAAAAATTTGAAACAGGACAGAATGTGTTTTTTATTTTTTGGCTGCAGGATGGGAGATGTGGTCATGATTGTGCGAGATGATAGTTCTTTTTCAGTGATTCTTCTCACCATTTAAATCCCCAAGAGTCTCTAGCTTCAAATCACTATCAGCTTGGTATGCCACTCATAACTATGACAACAACACGTCTTTAGAGCCGTCTCTCCCTCCCAGATAATTGTGTCCCATCAGTTCAAAGAAACCAGTAACACACACACCTGAAAAGTGGGTGGAACATCACAAAATACCTCCTTTTCTCTCACTTGCACAACAGAGACGTTTGTCATAATGAATGAAAAAACTAGGCTTCAATACTATATTTAGCAAATAATAATTTATTATTTATCACGTAACAGGAGGAAATAAAGTGTTTTCTCTGCTGAAATACATCCCTCACCATCACTGAGATTGTTTTATATTACCCTGTGAATCTACACACAACGTAAGTTAGAAAATGTTTTGGCCAAGTTATTTGTAGTGGTGATGGGCTATGAGGAGTTCAATTTGGTTCTTAATCAAAACTAGAACAAAATTCTTACATGTGATTGGTTCTCACCGGCCTCATTTGAGCACCATTAGGGTAGAGTATGCATTGTGCTTGTAATTGGACAATGTATGGATCATGCTTATGTAACTGAACAGTCTGCGTCACATGTGCACACTGTTGTTTTTTTGGTGAATATATATAATCAGTAGCTAGTTTGTTTCTTACAATTTGTCATAGTTTGATTAAATGGTTACAGAACTTTGTGTTGTCCAATTCTGTCTGCAATCATACTTGTAAATTAATAGACCAGACTACCTCTTTGGGGTCAATCGATTTTGTTAAACACTTGTATGATTACAGACCCACTTCAACTCCTCTCACTCCTATTAATTAGTACTCATACAGTCTGGTGGTTAACCAAATCAGAGGAGTGTGAAGCAGGACTCTGATTGTATAATTGCATGTATGAATGCAGCATAAATTTCAATGGTGATGACTAATCATGACTGGGAATTTTGTCCTAGTTTTGATTAATGGTGTAGAAGAATGGTCATGTTATAACTAAAAAGAAAGCAATGTGTGGAAAGATTGCATAACTTTCATTTGATTCTTTGCATCATGCAATTAGATAAAAAAAAATCCAAAGTGCTTGAAGGGTGAATGCTGATGTATAAAATACCTTACAGGTGATGAAACTTATACCTTAAAACCAACAAAACCAAATACCCAGCTTTAAGCTTGAGTATCAATATCATACATGATATTACAATTTCAATAAGTTCTGAGTAATTAAATATATTTTTTTCTTAGTGGCCTAACAGTGGCATAACATTATGGGCAATTTTTTATCCACTCTCAAATTTTGCTGAGCCATCAAAAGACACATTGTACAAGTTTTCCTCTGGTGGAAAAACTTGTAGCAAATTTTCTTGTCATGAGCCAAAAGTTATTGCCATTTTTTAAAAATTATTAAATGGATATAAGTAGATCAGTTACTTCTGATAACAGAACGTTTTGAGACATAAACTTGTTACGAAACAGAAACAAAGATTGCAACAGGGTATCCCACTGTATCTTCCAGTCAATATGCACCTGTGGTTGGCTAACTTTGCAGGCCACACAGTAGATTAGAGTTACTGGTAAAACATATCTTTGCTGTAAAAATCTCTCCTTATCTATTGCCGATTGCTCCTGACTTTCTGCAAAAGGTAAAAGTTAAAATCTATTTGTTCTCCTTAGAGTTGTGTGTTAACATACACCTTCCAGCAACTGAAAACAATTTTGATTTCATTTGAATCTGTTTGGTGTGACTAGAGATCATTTCCCAAATCAGTCAGACACAAAGAAGAGTCAGAAAGTTCTTGCTGTCCTCATCTTCTTGTCTGCACTGTAATCATCAATTTTCCCCAAGTGTGACACATTTGGGCCATAATTTGAAGGGGTTAAATCTGGTTTGAAATGTACAACACAGACCTTCCTCTTGGTTAGTATGAGGCACATGGGTATATGGCCCCTGTGACTGGCCGTCATATCTACACACTGAATGGCCCTATTAGGTACATGTTTTGTAACAATGCTTTTCTCTCTTCTCCTCAGTGCATTAGGCATCATAAATGCAACTACTTTCCTATCATTTGATGCCCAAGAAATATTCAACTGGAACAATGGACATATGAATTAATGTGCCTTGAGATGTGGAATCCCATCTCAACAAATGATGTCTCCATGATTTTGTCAATATTGTTAGTTAGCATGATAATGTCCACCAGGTTTCCACCAGCAATGTTTATCGAAAAACTCCCAATACTGAAACAATATTGCAAAACATCTAAAAATAGTTCTATCAACTGCTCCATGATCACTCCAGTGTTGCTCCATAAATATAGTGTGGGCAAAATTATGTTTAAATCCTGAATTGTCTCTCTCCACCTCAACCAATGTTGACTATTCCTTTCTAAGGAAAGCAACTCTTTCCAAATATTCCTTCAGGTGAGGTTGCTTCATTTTGGCCAACAGTCATTCATATCCACTACATAAACAGCAAACTGCATTGGTTGTATCTTGCTATGAATTCATGGACTTGGCCTGGTAATTCCCTGGTTTTACTTTAAAATCAGTTGGTATGTATTGTCATCTTCTGGAAACATAAGGCAGATAATGAGATTATTTCCAAGACTGGTTGCAGAAAATAAAGAAAAAAAAAGATGAAGAAATTGTGGTCAGAGCACAAGTGCAATTCTTTATTCTCAGCCTAATGTGTTCAAGACATTACCTCTGACTAGTTGTACAATAAAATGTCCTTCATCCGCAAAATTCCTCACCATCTAAAAAAGCAAATTAAAATATTTCAGTCCTTAAGGAGATATTTTTTAGGCTTGTCACCAAAGTGGAAAAAAAGAAAAATATTCCGAGTCCCCTTGAAGAACTGAACCCCAGAACTTCAGATTCCAAATTCTGGCACTAGGCCAGAGAAGTTAAACAGTCAGGGAGCTAGGCCAGTACAAGGTTCAATCAATTAATCTTTACATTTATATACAAGGCTTGTAGCAAAAATGTATTTGACATGTCCACTTCTCAACAATGACTGGTTTAATGCATAAAATAGGTTTACAATGAAAGAAAGGATGTGCAGAATAAAACCTTAACTGACTTCTTAATAAATGCAACATGTACCTAAGAATCTCCTTCTGTTTTACCAGGTAATATAAGACAATTTAGAAGGAGAATCTAGCATCTGTTTGAAGGCTTTTTTCCTACGCACCCCTTAATTACAAGGGTTTACATTAAGTTTAACAGTTGGTTATTGTGTTGATTCTCACCTCATCATCAACTAAAACATAAATTTCTGTTGGCCCTTGTCTATGGGGAAAAAAAATCAGTATTAGTTAATCATGAGATGTGATAATTAACAACTATTCATCACAGTGGAGGTGAATGGTGGTAGATATTTTAACCAGCACTGAGGGGAATGATTGTTTTACTATATATCATACAGATACCAAAAAAAAATTTTGTCTTGTCAGCTGCTCAGATATGAATCAATAACACTTGCTATTCACTTCTGCACACTCCAATTAGCTCACACAAAAAGTACTGTTAACCAGTGTGGTACATACTAATCATAATTATCCAATATAACAAAAGCCACTACATGATCATCCGACTACATAAAATGCACAATTTTTCCAAGTTTCATTTCTACTAAATTACCTGAAGGTGTATATAGCGACAATCTGCTCAGCATTAAGGTTACATTTTAATGCCAATTTCTTCCTTAATTCACTGAGGCTAAGAGCTTCAAGAAACATGGCATGGTATTCTTTCATTCCTGAGTTCTGCTGGGCTGATTCCAGGCAAATGTACATTGTTAAAAGTGGACGCACAGCCCTACAAAAATATCAGCAAAAACAACGAAAAAAATATAAGAATTCAATCTGAAGGAGAACTATGACCTGCACATCATGATCTGATTATTTACACAAAGTTTAGCTGTTGTTCAACAAAACTGTGTCCTAAACAATCCTAAATCTAGCTGAACCTTTTATCTGATGAAAAAGTTAATTTCTACACATACATTCAAACAACGGAGATAATACCCCATTATAATGGCTTCTTGTGCATACTTCTCCTTTCATAACACGGTTTCTTATTAAACTAAGCCACGAAAAATATTGTAGATTTATACGCAAGGAAATCATCTCTCTCACCTTGCTTGAAGTGCATTATGTAAGCGTATACCATCAGCAGGCCCCATGATTTGAATCATATCTTGTTTGGTCAATCTAAGCAGATCACCTCCTGCAAAGGAAAAGCAAAGTGTTGAATTACAAGTAAAAAAGTAATCCCTGCTGGTAAGCTGCAACTAAAGAAATTTGCCACAAGTAAATTTATCCTCCCTGCTGTCAAAACAAAATTATTCTCTAGCACATCCTTCTGGCAGCAGTTTCTCTGTGTTACTGACCTGTGTAGTTAGCAAACATGTTCAGGTAGTTTTGAAATCTGTTATTTTGCAACCAAACTCTTGTTTCATCCACAGAAGAATCCGATGTTAGTCCCTGAAAGATGCACAACAAATTAATCTCAATGATATTCAATACTATATGGTTTATCCAGGGGTTTCAAAATGTTTTGAAGTAGATGTTAGACGTTGCAAAAGTAGGTGACTGTGAATAGTTCAGTAAGGGTCAAAAGGTAATTATTTTGACCAGAGTAAACAGCAACATGTTATCAAATAACTGGCAGAACTCCAGCGATCACTAGTTTGTTCTGAAATCCTTGTTAATTTAACAACTAACCCAAGCAATCTTCATTTGCAATGGCTCCTTTGTAAATTGTGATCAACAAAAGAAAAGAAGTATCTTTTCCCATGAGTGACCAAGACAGAATCTCTCCTTACAATATCAATACAATATCAACCAGAGAAGTGATGAGAATGAAGAAAAATATCAATTTTAAAATAGTTAGTTGATCCAATACTAAATTCTCTGAACTAACATTATAAGAATTGTATGATTGACTGTAAAAAGAATTACATATTTGATCAGGGATTTAAGGGTTAACTGATTCTAACATTAATGTCTGGCTACAAATAAATTACTCAATTATACAGCAGAGTGCTGGAAATCACATCTCAGAGAGTTTCAAATTTCAAATGCTTTGCAACACCTCATTCTAGCAACAAGAGTACCATCCACACACACACACTTATCCCAAGAGTCATAGAGTACCCCCTTCCTACTATCAACTTCCTTGTTTTCATGATCATACCCAAACAATATGCAACACAATGAATAGAAATGATGTTACTTACCATTCCACATGTTGTGGAGGGTGAATTGGACAGCCCACTACTAGATGACGACATCTGCAGGGTCGGAGGTGGTGAAGACATTACTGATGAGGGTGACGACAGGGTTGTTGACATGACTTGGCCCCCTGAGGATGGAGAAGACATTGAACCAGCCACTGACCTACACAAGAAAACAATCATTACAGACAACTTCAGTCTAAATTCAACATATCAACATGTTAATTGAATGCATCTTACAATCTACATGTAAAGGAAAAAATAATTATTGAGAGTAAAATTTACTTCATAGTTTGAACTTTGAAAACAACTGTTTTGAGCTAAAATTCTATTGAAAAGCTTTTTAAACCCGCAGAAAGACTGTTCAGCAAGAGATGTGATTGAAGACCTCACTGGGTGGTCTTAGAGTTTAAAAGCAAGATTCAAAGGAATCGTTCATTACCCTGGAGACATCCAGCAAGAATTGTTGTCCTCTTCTATAATAAGCGGAAGCTGAAAACAAATCAGTGGATTAGCAATATCTTCAATAGGAAATGTTTGAAAACATTGAGAATAAATTCATCTCATAGGAATCACTAGTCTGAGAGCAGTGAGTCTATAAACTAATGGCTGATCTTCACAAAGGAAAAGATTACTTCAATCCTAGATTAACATTAAATCAATATACCACCACCATCATGGTTGCTTTTGATAACTTTTTAAAAAAATCACTGCTCTGACCAAACTTGATGTATCTGCACTTTTTATTACACAAAGAGTGATTGTGAACTTTTTCACCTTTGAGTAAGAGTAGAAACAGTGCTGTGAAAGCAACTGCTCGGGTTAGTCAGTGGTGTCCGGCCAAAGGCTTTATCCAGTTACTCACGCACAGAGTAATAATGTTGATGATTTTAAGCTAAGTATCTAATTTCTCCTTACAATATCACCCTTGAACCAAACATTAAGTCATGAGAATAAAGAAAATGATCACAAACAAAAGAAGCTCCAGATTGTTACACAAATTCTCCTTATCAGCACCTTAGGAAATGTGTGAAGAACAGTATAGAGAATTTGCATACTCATGCTAAGGTGTAAAAGGTTAAATCTCAAACATCCTCTTCTAATGTTAGAATTTCCATTGATACTAATGCCACAGACTTATGAATAAATTACAATCAATAATTTATTGGGATCGACCTACTTCTGTTAGTTCTGTAAATGCATTTGTGGGTCTCAACTGATCCTGGAAACAATAATGGATAATTAAAAAACATTAGGAAAACTTTTTTTTATAAACTGAAGTGACAAGGGATGGTTAAGACTCAAGTGGCCAAAATTTGTGTACACCCACCAGATATCATTAATGCTCTTATTGCTCGTTACACTGTAATTTCCATGGTTCCCACTCCCCCCCCTCCCCTCTCCCCTTGAGCAGAGAGAGGCTGGATGCTAAGAGAGCTTATGGGAGAGAGAAGAACTAGGGGAAGCTTATGAGAAACTCACTGACAGCCGCAATGCAGACATTGCAGACTGGCTTCCAGCTTTAAAAAAATACCATACAACTGTACACAGTGGGTATTTCAACACAACATAATCAAAACAGAAACTAAAAGTAAGCCTACATGCCTTTCTTATTGGGTATATCTTGAAATTATAGGCTAGCTACAAAGAGTAGGGAAAGTCTTGGC